GAGAGGGCGCTTTCTGGGCCTAGGCTGCGGGCCCGATGGAACCCACAGCCTGTCCCAAATGGGGTGTAGGTTTCCAATATCCAGCTTCTGACAACCAGATATTGTGGGAAATTACCAATACGGAGTCAGGTAGAAATATAAGGGTATTTAATAGGGAAAAGCCTTACTTACAGAGCAACCTAGCCAGCTGGCGTGGTAGAGGTAAGTACAGCAAGCAGCAAAGAGAAACCGAAACAGAAAACGCAGTCCCACTACGTCACTCTGACCACGCCCTCACAAGCCTGGTCAGACACACCTGTAGCCAGCCCCTAAGAAGGCGTGGTTACAGCTTTCCCTACAACTGACGGCATGAAATGGATAGAAGTGTGTGTTAATGGTGGAGCCAAAAGGGCATCAAATCCTTACCCCTCCCATCCCCACAGGTAGGAAGTAAGTGCTAAGCTAGAAACGCCTTAGACACTGGTACCAAAAGCCCCTACAGCCTTCAGAGCTACATGGATGCTCACATTGGGATTGACAGTTGTATTTAGGTGCTAGAAATTTTGAGGTGGATGGAGTTTACTGTTCACCATGCAGATGCGTTCTGTATGAGGCTATCGACTGGACTAGAGCAGAGGACATAGGCAGCTGAGCTAGCAGCAGTATTTATTTCCTGCAGAAACAGATAGGCCACTGGGAAATGTGTTTATCTCTTTGTGCATTATTTGGAACATTTAGCTGGCACTCAGGAAACATATTCTAAACCATGTATTTAGGGTGTTTGCAACAGGTACTCTTCTGCAATAGAGTGGCTCCAAACCAGGCAAGACATGAGTCAAAGGACTGGACAGAGAATAGGGAAAACGGGGAGCCAGTAACCTGAGGATTCTCGGGAAGGAAGAAGGGGGAAGTGAAGGTTGGAGTCTTTGTGGGCAATGGGCCCTCCAGCCCGGTTCTGTTTAAAATGGCAGTTTGTGCCTCTCATGTAGAGAGTCAAACAAAGCCTGAAGCATCTCCTCACACTCTTTCCTTGGTTTCTTGACCAGGTCACAGACATAAAAGAGAAACTGAAGCTCTCTAAAAAGGTGTGGTCAGCCTTGCCCTACACCATCTGCAAGGATGAAGGCGTGACAGCGGGCACGTCCAATGAGGAGGAGTGCTGGAACGGCCACAGCAAAGCCAGGTGAGGTGCCTGGATGCTTGGATGGGCATGCAGCACATACAACCCTACCTGGGTCTCCTGCCACCACCACAGACCTGTTTGTGCAAAAGGCAGTGGGGAGGAGGGACTTGGAGTCACTCGGTGACAACTGTTGGGAGTGGCAGGTTTGATGGGCTCGTGGGAGCACTGACTCTCAAGGTGCCATGAACCAAGGAATCCTTGCTCTGACCGCCTCGCTTCTGGATGAGGACAGAGGGTGGTGACAGGTGCCAGCTTCCAGATAGCCTGAGATCACAAAGGGCCCCTTATGTTCACTTACTGACTTTAAGACAACACGGCTATTTTTATCCATAGTTAACTCTGCAGGGCTCCTTTTTCCCTTTTATTCTTTTCAAATTCACAAGTTAAGCAGGAAATGAAACTTCAACTGTAATATTTTCACCTCTGGAGGAAAAAAAAAAAAACCTTCATAGTGTTCAATGGAAAAGTAAAAGAAAATGACTAAGAAATGAATGAGGAAGGGCTCAGAAGGCTCCATGTCTCCAGAAGTCCTATTGAACCCTCCTAGTGGCTCTGTCTTCATCGTCTTGCTCTACTGACCAATGCTGTAGCCGTTTGATAGGAATTTCTGAATCGGTTGGTTTAGCTCAGCCTGGGCTTGGCTCAAGCTTGCCTAGGGTGGAGAAGTTGGATGGGGAAACTGGCTGGGAGTTGGCAGGCTGGGCAGGACATGAGGAGCGGAGTCTGCCAGGCCTTCATCAGTGGCGCTGCAGGTGGGTAAGACAGCTGGTAAATGGGATTCCAGGAATCTTTGGGGACTGACCAGGAGTTGGAGAAGCTGGGGGTGTCTATTTGGGAGCGTCTTATTGGGCAATTTTGAAGAAAGGAAGCGGCAGTGATCCAAGTGAGAAAGGAGGGAGTGAGAACTGAGTTCCGAAGAATCTGCCAGAGGTAAGCGGAGGGTACCAGGGGCGCTCACACTGATACATGGAGGGTTCCAGGGCGCTCACACTGATACATGGAGGGTAACAGGGGCGCTCACACTGATACATGGAGGGTTCCAGGGCACTCACACTGATACATGGAGAGTAACAGGGTGCTCACACTGATACATGGAGGGTACTGGGGCACTCACACTGATACATGGAGGGTAACAGGGGTGCTCACACTGATACATGGAGGGTTCCAGGGTGCTCACACTGATACATGGAGGGTACTGGGGCACTCACACTGATACATGGAGGGGACTGGGGCACTCACACTGATACATAGCATTTTCAACATCTGTTGGGGATGGTGTTGCTTATCTTACAAGGAAGAGTCGAGCAGGTGAAACCAGGACAGCCACAGAAAGATCCACACCCAATTCAAGTTGCCCAAAATACCATTGTTCAAATCTAAGAGTGAGACTAGAGAGAGAGATTGATGACATGAAAGACATGTCACTCATAGAAGGCAGGTGACCCGGGGCTCTGCTGCTAACCTATGTTTACCTGTCAGCCCTGCATGAAATGACAGCTGTGCTGTGAACTTCATTCCCATGGACAGTCAGCAGGTGGCTGGAGATTTGCACATATGTGATTTCTTACAAAAGAATGTTCATGCTTGTGGGCAGGAGAAGGGACTAAACTCTACTGAGAAATGAATAGAAACAGGAGGGACATGGAAGTGAGAGCTACAGGGAAGACAGGGTGACTTATCCACGGTCTTCCCCAGGGGTTACAGCATCTCATGAGAAAGATGGTACCCAGTGGCATCCAGTTAACAAGAAGATGCTGGGAGTCTTCCTTTCCAGCCTAGAATTCCTTTGCCTCTTAAACAAACAAACCCTAAATACTCCCCTGTTCAAGTTAAGAAAGCAAATGAAATTTAATACTGTTTCATATACATATATAGTATTAAATGTCAGAAATGTGTTTAGGACCATTAGACAAGTTTTGGAGAATGCTGTCATAATTCCAAGCCAAATTTCACATAATGATTCAAATAGCAGTTTTTAAAAATCAAAAATTCTAACATAATACAACCTAAAGATAAATTAATCTGATACTTGCATTTTGAGGAATGACAATAGCAAAGTATTAAAAAGTCATTCTGGTTTTTGAGAATTTTTAAATTTATTTCTTTTTCTGTGTGGGGTGTTTTGCCTTCATGTATGTCTGTGTCCAAGTGTGTGCCTCATGTCTGCAGAGGCCAAAGAGGGTGATGGGTGTACCTTGAAACTGTTGTCAGCTGCCATGTGGTTGCTGGGAATTGAACCAGGGTCCTCTTGAACAGCAGCCAGTGGTCTCAATACTTGAGCCATCCCACCAGCCCCCAAGTTTTTGTGCCTTATAAGTAAGCCACTGCATTTCTGTAAGAGTGATTTTTGTGTGTACAGTAAAAGCCCTGAGATTCGTAACACTCCATAGTCTTGACTCTAAGTCAAGTTGCTTCATGTAGCATCCATTGTTTTCACATGATCTGGGGGCATCATGTGCAGTGCCAAGAGTTCATGCTACATGTTTAGAACCAAGGATGCAGTGATGTTGTATGATTCAACACCAGCAACCAAGGCCAGAAACATCCCAGATTTGTCACACATTCAATTTGACACTGATTCTGTTACTGTATTGTGAGAAACGGTATACTGTTGCCAGAGTTTTCCATACCCCCACATTCAGTTATACAACTCCTTATGAGGTCATGAACCACAGTTTAGGCTGGTAGGCGATACAAGATGGCAATAAGACCAACACATGAAAACTGACAGTGGCTTGGGAGAGATCAGTGTGGCTGGGAACACCAATAGCAATACTTTACACTGTGGCTCTTGAAATACTCCTACCAGCACCCACAAGCCAGACTTGAATTCCATCCTGAAACTGGCAAGAAGCACCTGAAAGATCTTAAGCAGTGTAGAAAAACAGCCAAGTTTGATGCAATGCAGTCATTTCTATGAATATGTCCATGTCTAACCCTACACAGTGCATCTTTTATTATGTAATACGTGTATTATTTAAAAAGACAGGCTTGTCAAATATTTATGACTCAATTATACTCCCACTGAAAAATTGCAGTTCCTTCATTTTCTCGTTAAAATTCTTCTACTGTAGGGTGTTAGTATTATAACTTTACATCTGCTGACAATGTAAATAAAGAACAAATCCAACTTGTTGCTTTAAATTTAACTGAACCTGTCTTCTCTTGTAAATGCCAAGCAATCTGGAATCACCTGAAAAAAAAAATTCACTCAAACAAATTCTACAGGAAGATTGAGAAACTTGGCTAACACATTTGCAGAGAGAGGTTAATCAGTGGGTATTGTGTTACAAGTAGGGAACAGAAATAGGTTCGGATGGGATGTGTGCTGGAATGTGACTGGACACAGTCATAACACACTGGATATTTCCCAGTAGAAACATGTAAGAAAGTATGTTGAATGTTTTGACCACCAAAAATGACTGTTTACAGAGTTAGATACACTTATCCCAAATGTCACATGAGTCTCCATACGTTTGTACAATTTAATATGCTGATTAAACATATAATAGTAATTAAGAATCCATCTATAATACAAAAACTGTTTCCCCAGTTGCAATGTATGGATTTGAAAATGACAGACTTTAAAAACATGTTTAGGAACAGTTGCAAAACAACAATTAAGAACAGAGGTTTTTCTTATCAATCATGTGATAAATGTGTTATTAGGAAAAGTTTCTCTCAGCACAAGTGGAGGGATATGGAACACGGATGCCCATTAGGATTGATAGGGTGTCATGGGCCTACAGTTTACAAGCCAAATCCGGAGAACCAATGTCCCTGATAAGCCAGGAATTCTTCCTCTCTGTGTTCATCTCTCTGTTTGCACCTTGTTGTCTTACATGGTCAGATCCACAGATATGCCTGTTCTGATATGTCCTGATTTTAATGATTCTGAAATGACCCCTAAGTGGGAATGTCCATTTATGACAATGATTGTCTTATTTTTTCCAAAGAGCTATTGTTAACTTAATCACCTGTTGAAATTGATGGTTGTCTGATACGTACACATAGATGCAATTTTGTTGTAGCAGCTTCATGGTTTGCTGTGTTGAGAGCACAGTCAAGGATATGTATGCAGTGGCTGCCCTAAAAACACAAGCCACAGCCTCTCTCCTGCCATTCTCCTCACTGCTCTGCTCTATTGAGTTTCCCCGCAGTAGGAGGTGCAGTAAGAAGAGACCCTGCCCTGTGACAAGATGCAGGTTTACCCACTGCCCTACTAGCATTTAAATCCTCATTCTGACAGAAAGACTGGGTGACCACAAGGACCTCTACCTTTACTGATGTCTTGGAACACTGAGAAGATCAGTAAGACAAGTCTACAAAAACAGCAGGACTCAGGCTTTTTGGGTGTGTTGACTTAACTTTTGGAAACCTTGCGTAAAATCAGATTCTGACTGGGTGTGCTGTAAACAGAATATGTTATGATCACCCACCCACCCCCAATATTCCCAACCTGTTGGTATTTAGAGGTGGGGACTTGGAGAGGTAACGTGATTGTGACACAGAGCCCTTAGTGCATTTATAACAGGATGGAGAGAGCTCCCTCTTCTCTCGTCTGCCCCAAGAGAGGACAGAACAATAATTTAGCCATTTGCAGATCAGGAAGTGAGGCATCACCTCGGGATACCTGCCAACACCTTTGCCTTGGATGCCCCAGTCCCCCTGAGCTGTGAGAAATGTGTGTGTGTTGTTGAAGTCATGCAGTTAATGGCATTTTTCTGAGGAAGGCAGAGCTGACCAAGGTTGTGATTTTGAGATGGCACCTTTGCTGTTTAGTTTTTCTTGTTCGTTTGACCCAACTTAGAGAGTCTCAACGAGGGATTCTCTAAATCAGGTTGGCTTGAAGGCTTGTCTGTGGGAGACTGTGTTGACCCTTAGTTGATGTAGAAAGACCCAGCCTACTGTGGGTGGTGTAATTCCCTAGGCAAGGACGCACACATTCATTTCCTTCTGCTCTTGACTGTGGACACGATGTGACTTGCTGCTTCAGCTCT